CTGCCCACGCCAAGATCGATGATGAATCATTAGCAAATTATATCGAGTACGGTTCAGACCAACAGTGTTTCAGCTCAGATGAGATTTTTCAGCCTTTGGCTATACTTGCAACCAACCCTAAAACTGCACGCGAACTCGTTAAGCTAGGCATTGTATCAGCATGCGAGTCTGCTTTGAAAAAAGCCCAGAAAAAACCATTCGTCGATACTGAACACGTAACTTCTGTTAACGAATCGGCTAAATGGGCTCTAGAGCTACTCCTTCGTTTAACTAAAAATCTGCTCACCGGCACTCTTATTGATTTTCAAGACGTCATCAGTAAATTTACAGAAAATCAAACACAAGAAATTGCCCGAATTGCTACCGAATTAGAATATATCTTAACGATGGTCCAGCAGAATCAGTTCTTTGTTTCAAATACGCCTGTTGTCGAATGGAAACCCGCAGATTTACCCACGTCAAAATCCGACGGTTTCAAAAAACAAACACCATTGCTAAAGAGATCCAAATCAGAAGCCAAAGACGAGGCCGATTGTAAAAAAGAAATAAATGGCAGCGCTAATCTTACATCAGATGCTGAATTTATTAGTATTACCAAGTCACCCGATACGGATGAACATAAAATTATGATCAGCTATTGTCACGCGCAGGAAGAAAATGTGATGAAACTTCTGAAAAAACTCCGGGAAAAGGAAGTTGGAAAAATTTGGATAGACGATAAGCACATGCACATGCAAAAGTCAATTCTTAGTGGGATAGTGAAAGGTGTGGATGGAGCAAAGTTTGTAATCTGCTGCATATCACAGGAATATCACAAAAGCGAGAACTGCATGTGTGAAATCGAATATGCAAAGCAGCAGAAAAAGATCATCATCCCAGTCGTGGTGACAAAAGGTTTCATGCCTGAAGGTGAACTTTCACTATGTCTCGGAAGCAGGTTTCGATTCGACCTCTCAACTGAGGAAAAGTTTGAATTAAACTTTCCTAAACTGCTAGAAAAAATAGAAGAAAAATGAAATAAAAACGAAAAAAAAAATACGTTTGCCTTACATCAACCAACATCAATCAACTATTCTAAAACAAGAGAAGAGAAGTAACAACCTCAGCAAAAAACTAACCAAACTTTGAATCAGGTACTAATAGTCAGAATAAATTTTTATCATGTGCTTATATTCATGCTGTAAAAGTTTTTACACCTCTATAATTAACACAGTTGATGACCATTATCCAATTAACGGCTTCTTGAAACTTGCGTCAGCCAGCCATAAAGCTGATACGTTAACGGAAATGCCTGATAGTGCACAGATCCTATAATGCAAGAACCCAAAAGATATTTAGAGTTATCTGAAAGTAAAACTGCAGTCAATGAAACAAAATTTACAAGAATGATGAGTGAAGATTTCTGGACATTTATGGAAGAAGAGAGTCTTTCTTTAAAAATTCATTCAGTTAACAAGAGGCTTGTACTTCCAATTTGTGCATTGATGCTTCCACTACCAAAAAATTTGGCTCGATCACTGAAAGTGAGGAGGAAAATGTTCATCGGTTATTTCTGCTTTTTAAAGCTTGATGACTTTTCCCCAAGCAAAACCAAGTACCACAAAAATTTTTTAAAGCTTGTTGACTTTTCCCCTAGCAAAACCAGGTACAACAAAAAATTTAGCTTTTCAGCCTACTTTGGAGCGATTAACGCACGCGAGTAGGCGTTAAACAGCTTTTATTCATGCCGTAAAAGATTTCCAAATAAATTTTTTGAAGAAAATTTTAGCCTAGTCTAGTTCCTTTTTAACCATCACAGTGAACAACACAAACTTGAAAAAGAAAAAATGAGTTTTGTTCTATAATTGATAATACATATGTGGTCAGAACTTTCTGTACTAGAGAACAACCGTCTATTCTTACTGTTCCGGCCATTGAAAATGGGGAGGAACTTTGTATTCGGGTATGTTTTAATTTTTATTCTTTTTGTTTTCCACGCAAAATCAGGTACCACAAATAATCATCGGACTGGTTTATGTGATATATCATATATCCCTTTCAGTCGCAATTCGAACCACATTAAAAAAACTTTCCCAGTATCGAGAAAAACCGGTTTTAATTTTTTGAAAGTCGAGCGAATAAAGCAAGTGAGCAGGCTTATAACAGCTGTATTATGCCTAATTTAAAACCTTAGAACTTAATTTTCAGCGAGTAGTAAAACTAATTTTTGGGGTATATATAAGAACGAAAAGTGCTATGGTCTATTTGGCTTTAACATTTCGCCCAAATTCCTTCGATAAGGGCAAAAAGTGTGAAAACTGGAGTTACGTGACAACAAAGGTTTGTTTTGCAGTTTAATTCCATTAGACATTTATAAATGAGCACCTACAAATTTTTGAACAATTGATTCATGGTAATTTTTAATCAAGGCCCCCAACAATCAATGTTACTGAAAGTTTCCGAAACAAGGAAAATAAGATGTTGAGCTTCAAATTATTAAGTCTTTCATCTTAAAATGAGAAATTTGAGACTAACCACCAACTGACCTCTTTTCTAAATAAAAATCCTTTTTTCACTGAACAACATCTTCATACAACCATCTTTCACTTCATTAACCGCTCCATTTAACCACTTCAGTTTGGTGCTTAGCCTACTGTTAATTATCGCTTAGTTGAAAATCAGCCACATTGAACAACTACATATTCTGATTGCGAATCAAAAACAAAAACTACATAACAAAAAATAATTTTTTACTTTTTCTCTCAAAGCTTGAAAGACTCAAAAAAAGTAAAGCTAGGACGTTTAGTTTGATTTATGAGTCAAGATACCAATACTTAAATGGCTATACAGCTAGTATTTTTCTGGCTGTTTTTAACAAAGTCGATGCTGTAAATTCGCGAACACAAGCAAGAAAGCTCCAAAAGTTGAAATGCACAAACAGACAATTTTTGAAGGTAATAAGTTGGAATGTCACATGCTAAAGGCAACCACTCTGCATTTAAAAGACTGGAATGTATAAAACCAAACTGTGAAAAAATTATGCATTTCAAAAACCTCGCTAGAAAGTTTCTTAAATCTAATTTCAATCATTTAAACGTTGTATGAAACAAATAGCTTTTTTTGGTTCATTTAACAAATTAACAACACGTCACTTGTGTTAAGTTATTATTAATCAAAAGTCAAAGCACATGGCATTGTACTGCCAATGAAGCTTCCTGGCGGAAATGGGCCAAGAAAAGTATTTGCGGCTTCGGTTGGAAAAAAGTTGCTTCGTACTATCACACTCCGCTTGTGCAATAAAGGATTTCATATTTGTCAGAGCTAGACAAAAATTCATTGAAACATCGCATTTCTTAGTTTATTCAATGACATCTTATTGACCTAGATAATAAAAACAAAAAAATGAAAAGAGCTACAGGTTCGTTTCAGGCAATCATCGATTCGCGGAACTGTTTGGTTATGTGAGTTGTTATTCTCAAGATCGTCTATTAACGCGATAATTGATGCGATTAGGTTATAATCTCTTCGCGGCTAAAAAGGGCAGAATCGTCTTCTAAGAAACCTAGTCCATTTCTGATTTCCTTTTTGGGATAATATAAATTAGCTTAGCGTCGAGCATCAGGAAGAGATCAAAGCTTAACACAGAGGCGAAGCTTGGCTTCGCAAACTTTAGCGAGAACACGACAAACAGCAACTCTAGAAAGTGCAGTAAAAAATATGTAGATGAGCCTCGAATTAGCAAAAAAATCGGCTAGGTCTGGGATTCGATCTATGACCTACTACAATCAAGAGAATTAGACTCTCACACACTAACCATTCAGCCACGCACTCCTAACCACCGATAAACTTTAATCACGAAAAAAGCAGCTTCATATGCTATTAAAATGCCAATGAAATTCAGCAGAAGTGGCACCAAATACAAGTAGACACAATTTTACAAGTAGTAATTTGGAATATCACAAACTGAAGGCATCCACATAAACTTTGCATGTAACAAATCGCAAACCATAAAGCCACATTATGTATAAATTGTGCATTTCAAAAATTGCAAGATAACTGAAATCAAAATATTTGAAAATTTCTCAAATCGAGTTTTCATTATTGTATGTTGTTTGAAACAAATAGCTTCGGTTCATTTGATGAAATAAAAATTAAATCATTTTCCGTCTATATTAAAGAAGTAGAATGCATCAACAGTGTTTATTTATTACTATTCGAAGGTCAAAGCACTTGCTATTAAAAAGCTGTAAAGGTGCAACAATATTTGCAACTTAGTTTAGAAAAAAAGAATGTTCTTAATAATACACTAAGCTGACTCTAGTGAAATTGACGTACACAAAACTAACTGCACAATGATAATGCTCCGCAGCAAAAGACCGACAACTCGCAGAAAGTCCATTTAATTTAACGAAAAATGACTGTTTCGCTTTTCTATCATAATCCCACGTCCGCTTAGAGATGGCCCAAAGCACATGTTTTCAATCAATACCAAAATCTTAGATATTTTAGGTAACTTTTATAGTACTATCTTAAAAACAAAGCCAATCCAAGATTGGAAAAGAGTAATGAAGGTAAGTAAACATAAAAAAAAACACTCACTTTCTTGAAAAATCTCAACTTTCGAATTTCAAAGAAAAAAATAGATTCCCTTTAAGCTCTTTGACTTTCTAGAACAATTTATGACTGGGTCTTTTTTCATAACATGAATCCAACAAGAAAAAACTGGATCAATAGGTAAAGTTTTTATTCCGCTGAAAATCTTAAAATTAAATTCCACTTTCGAAACTAGAAACCGTTCACGCTTTTTCACGCCATTTCCACGTTCGTATTTGGAGAATGCTATTTGCGTCACATTCAGCAGATGAATTTCAATTGACCTCAAAAAGTGCATATAAGAAAAACAAAAAAAAATCAGCAAGACCTATATAAGTCTTCGCTAAGTTCATTACTCTTAATAATAATAAGTGAGCTTAAGTGGGGATGAAATGGGCTAGGATAAAGGGATGGTACTGAGCACTGACCCAGTTGAACTTGGTGAGGATGAGGTCGAAGGGGAGGTTGGATGTGATGGTGTCCCAGTTGGCAAACAGCGCCTCTTTCAACACCGGATGCATCATCCTCTCCCTCTCTCTATCTTTCTCGCACGCACACTCTTGATTCTGCGACGTCACAATAATCTTGACACTCTCTTTCTCTCGCTCTAACGATTGTGACGTCACACAACTCTTGGATATCTTACTGCAACACTGGTATCCAATCGAATGCGCTTCAAGGCATCATTGACTCTGAAAAGTATAATAAGTTGTTTAAGTTTTTAATACGTTGCTACACACCAATTACATATTTTGTATTTTACATGGGGTGGGGTAAAAAAATCAACAATCTGAACGCATTTTTTCTCTTTCTGATTTATCACTTTTTACATATATATTGACATTAAGGGGCAGCCGCAACATACAAGGATCCGCCCAGATACAAGCAGTCCTGTCATGTTTCAAATTATGGGGCAAACACTCTGCACAATTTAAGCCCGTATGAACTGAGCTGATAATATGGTTATCTGTAGAGTCTGCTAACATGACAAATTCTTCGTAAAAATTGAATTGAGAAGTTGAATTAAAACGAACAACAATATAATTCAAATCAGAAGAATCATCAAACTAAGCAGTTCATTCAGCGTTCAGCGACTATTACAAATAAATAACTCGGGTCAATGTCCAAAAAAAGTGCAAAATGCCACATAGAGCATCGAAATAATTTTTGGGTAGCCATAAAATATTCATTTCTCAAAACATTTTCAGCTTTTTTTGACCGATCATTCAAATTTAGCAGAAAATGAAGTTTACACGTAAAATCCGTGCAGATATAATAAATTTTGATTTTTTTAAAGGTTTTTCAAATCAGTAACTGCGAAAATGTAAGGTATCCAATGCGTATTTGATCTCAGAATAATTGAAAATTTTTGTATCTGCAACCTGCTTTTTGCGTAATCGGTCAATATTTAAACTTAATTGCCTGGCTTTATTAGCTTACTTTCTTACTTTCAGTTTTTCGCAATTTAATTTCAATTCTTGAATACTCAATTCTGATTGGCAAAAATTTACTTCTCATCATTTGTCTATCCAATCCATCAAAGGGAAATCGGCATAGATATATTCGTTATAATGGATCTTCATAGTCTGTCTCTGTGGAAAAAGTTGTGGAGAAAGTTTTTAAATTTTTTGAGATAAAATGTTGAAATTGTGCGGCATCAGAAATATCGTTGAAAACATCCTGGGCATGATAACTTTAAGAGTTGTCTCGTTTACCACGAAACATTCACCATTTTTAGTGTCCATCCGAGCCAAAACTTTAAGCCAAATCGTAGAGCTAATTTATAGATCCGATTGTGATATATAAGACAACTTTTGAAACCGAAAATTTTGCTCGATTCCGGAGTTTGATTTTTTCGAATTTTTTAAAAATTTTACAGGGAGGAGGGAGGAATAAGTTATTTTCAATTTCGTCTTAATCCCCCAGACAAATATATGAGATCAGCCTTGCAAAAGTTTAAATTTATTAGATGTATTTAGAGGTTTTGCTTATTGATTGTTAAAATTAACATGTTTTAATTTCAGATCATTTCGATTGTTTGACAACTTGGTTTAATTGAAACGTGATTTCTATTAATTTTTGCAAGATACTGCATTATCAAAATCAACTCGTGTAGAATTTAAAAAAGATAAATATAGTTGAATAAGTGCAATAATGATGTAGTGATATAATGATATTTTACTAAAATTCTTTGAACAAATTGGAGTCACGTATGGTTCAATTCACTCCGACTACCCTAGCAACATAAAGATTTATGGGTCTTATGCACAAAACGGCCCAAAAATAATTTTCTCGAGCTAAAATTTATGTCGTCGAATCTGATTGGCTAATATTAGCCAATCAAACTCAAGAAACATTTTCAGGCATTTCAATCAGATAAAAGCATTAGCCAAAATTACTAAATTGTGAACTTTTTCTAATAATAAAATGATTATCAAGTCATATGGGAAACTTTGCCCAGGCGAGAAAAATTCATTTAAATTGCTTCAGCAGAATAAAAGTTCTAAAGTTTTGGTTATTTCAGCTCACGGTTTTATCCGCTCGAAATTTTGATTGAAATACCGGAGCATGTTGTTTGAAGTTGAAAGTCTAATTAGCCAATCAGATCCAACTAAAATAATCTAAGAATTCAAAAAGATGTAGAATACTGATTTTGGGCCGTTTAGTGCTTAAGACCCGAATTTAGGACGAAGTTTTCAGATCTTAGCAGCAAATTAAATAACAATTCACCATGGGCAAATGGTAGAAAACGCCGAAAAAACACCCTACGCGAGGGCAAAAAAAGGTACTTGTTAACGTTAGAAGCCTGTTTAGTTCTCAGGTTCCCGGAGTACTTTAATTACTTGCACCATTAGTTTTTCCTCTTTCGAAGTTTTTTCTTTCTTGTTGAGAAAAACCTACAGCCTGGCAGAAAATATACTCCTTTTCAGTCTGCCCATGCTTTCCTAGCCCATTTTGCATTTTGATTGTTTTTCTCCTTTCAACATTTCCTTTTCCATTATTTGACACGAGACATCAAAATAATTGCGAACACGATATGTTGGTTTTTAAACCCTTTTAGGTCTAATCAATAACAATAAATGGAGATTCGAACTTACGACAAAGCTCCGAGTTTCTAAAAATTATTTCTGAAATTGAAGATATAGGTAAGTGGTCAGAATTATCTTAATCTTTGTCCAAACACTCGTTCAAATTTGCTCAGTTTGGTTTTTGTTCAGACCTGCAGAAGACGTCAAGACGGCAAGGGGGTGCCGCGCTATGTTAAAATGGCGGTTTATGGACAAACGGATCAAAAAATCACAAGTGTGTCATTAGAGCAGCTTTCGTAATCAACGACATTAATAAAAAAATAAGTAAAACAAAAACATTGAGTAATTTACTAGAAAATGGTGTTGTTTTCAAAATAAGCTAATTTTTTTCCCGAGGAGACCACCAACGGCAGTACAGTCAGTCTGCGCAAACGTGAAGATCCAGTCAAGCGACTGAACAAGAAGCTTGCAAAAGTGTATCCTAAAAAATATGCATCCCTAGAAACTTTCAAAATGTAAAATTTACTTTTGGAAGATGGTGCCCACTTCAATGCTATTGGTCCAAGGCATATGGTGCAATTGTTGTGATAAACTTAATAAATAGTTTCAGTTAAAAATGAATACAAGAGGCAGCCATGGTGGCCCCAATAGTCAATGTTGAATTGTTGAAAAGTTTGATCACGGCGATATTTTCTGGATTACTTATCACTGGACACTGTGGGAAACTACACTCTGGACGGCTCCCGAATTGCTGTGTTCACCATCCCAATTCCCAATCAACTGAGTTCATTCCAATTTTGTTTATTTATTTATTTTTCTTAGTCTCTATACCTTACGATCAAAATAGTAGGTGCAAGTTCTCTTTACCATTCCATCAATAAACTTGAAGAATCGGAACAAGATAAGCTTGCTGATCCTGTTCACTCTTTCCCTGGGCTGAATCTTGACCCTAGCACGTCAAATTACTGCCTCGATTACCTTAAATCAATTCCTCTTAGGAACTGCAAAATTGTTCTCTGGCACGATTTATAAAACAACACAAAAACATCGCACCCGAAAAAAGGCAACATACCCCAAACAATCGAAGAACTGATTGCGACCCTTAAGACTATTTCAAACGTCTTTGGTGTCGTTACCTGTCAACGCAAAGGTGCTCCCTACATATTCGACGATCTTCTAAATTCATTAGACTGTTACGTCATCGACGTGACCAAGCACATTATCAGTGCTTCCGAAAGAATTGACGAATCTTTAATTGCAGAATACCGAAAACTGCACCAGGCTGCTGACATAGAGTCGAAGACTCTAGCTACTGTGCTGCACTATTTTCCCGACTTCGATAGAATCTTCAAAACACGTGGCACGAAACGTCGAACGGCTGGCGAGAAGCGCGAAGCTAGACGGCGAAATATCTAAACAGGTACGCAAATCTGAGTCCTAAACCTAAAATCTCAACAGGTGTGCTAATCGAGTCTCTGGCTCTGAGCCCCTTCAGGATTTTTTTTCATTTTTCCTTTGAACGTCTTCTTGTCCCTTCTTCTGAAGAGGTTAGACGGTTGATGACAGCTCACCATTCAGCTCAGTCTTCGCTGCAGTCTCGTGTACACCAGCGGCTGCCATATCTTGCTTGAGGCACTCTTTCCAGGTTTTCTTGGGTCTTCCTCTTGGTCTGCGACCTGGTGCCTCTGTGTGCATTGTTTTCCTTAGCGGGTTATCTTGATCTTGTCTTCCGTGGATGTGGCCGAACCAGGTCAATCTTCGCTTCCTTATCATCAGCAGAATATCCTCTAGACCACATTTTCTGAGGGTTTCTGAGCTTGACATTCGGTCTGACAGCAACAAATTGCAGACCATTCTGAGCATCCGGCGGTCACAGCTCTGTAATAAGTGTTGATGTCTGAATATAACACCCGAAATCGAGTCAAGTCAGTCTCTGATTCTTTTAGTACGTCCTGTGAGAAAATCCTGAAAAATGAAAGCTCTTTCGACTGCTTTTGCTGTGGTTGTCGAATGCACTTGAATGAAGAATGCACTGGTCTAAGCGAAGCCGCTGTCAGTGGAGTACCAGCCTTAGGAAAAAAATGCTCTATTGATATGCAACAAATGTGTTGAAGAAAAACGTCAAGATAATTTGACCCAAGCTGCCCATGAAACTACAATCTCAAAAGAACTTCGAGAAACTCAAATGAAAACACTGGAAAACGAAATGACTGACCTCAAAAAAACAGTGACCGAAATCAAAACGCTGCTAACCACAAAACAACCTAATTCAGACCTGCAGAAGACGTCAAGACGGCAAGGGGGTGCCGCGCTATGTTAAAATGGCGGTTTATGGACAGACGGATCAAAAATCACAAGTGTGTCATTAGAGCAGCTTTCGTAATCAACGACATTAATAAAAAATAAGTAAAACAAAAACATTGAGTAATTTACTAGAAAATGGTGTTGTTTTCAAAATAAGCTAATTTTTTTCCCGAGGAGACCACCAACGGCAGTACAGTCAGTCTGCGCAAACGTGAAGATCCAGTCAAGCGACTGAACAAGAAGCTTGCAAAAGTGTATCCTAAAAAATATGCATCCCTAGAAACTTTCAATGTAAAATTTACTTTTGGAAGATGGTGCCCACTTCAATGCTATTGGTCCAAGGCATATGGTGCAATTGTTGTGATAAACATAATAAATAGTTTCAGTTAAAAATGAATACAAGAGGCAGCCATGGTGGCCCCAATAGTCAATGTTGAATTGTTGAAAAGTTTGATCACGGCGATATTTTCTGGATTACTTATCACTGGACACTGTGGGAAACTACACTCTGGACGGCTCCCGAATTGCTGTGTTCACCATCCCAATTCCCAATCAACTGAGTTCATTCCAATTTTGTTTATTTATTTATTTTTCTTAGTCTCTATACCTTACGATCAAAATAGTAGGTGCAAGTTCTCTTTACCATTCCATCAATAAACTTGAAGAATCGGAACAAGATAAGCTTGCTGATCCTGTTCACTCTTTCCCTGGGCTGAATCTTGACCCTAGCACGTCAAATTACTGCCTCGATTACCTTAAAT